CAAACATTTGATAGTGTAGTTCTACATGTTTGAACGCTAGCCAACATTAATCTCTAGGGGCGCAGTCAAACAGGGACTTAACTTTCATAGTTAGTTGGCCACAAATCATCGTCGTGGTTGATAATGTATAGATCAGGCCCGCCGGAATCACTCTCACAATGGCTAGGGGTGGAGTTGATATGTTTAGTACCACACAAGGCCCCCCAATGGAACCCCGTCTGGTATCAGCGATCGGGTCGCCCATTGGCTTGACGGTAGACGAATTCGCTGCCGGTCGCGACAGTATTTTGGTCTGTCTACTTCGATCGCACCAAGGGTGTCTCTGTGGCGAAGTGGGCAAGCCGTTTGTCTCGCGCTCTAAAAGTCATGGGTTTATTTCAGTACAATTTTTACTTCGATCCCTAGGGACCATCGTTGAAACTCCGGAATTCGTGCTCTCTGCGACGTCTCAGCAGGCGGCTAGCCGTTCTGCAGGGCGAGACCGAGCAGTGTGGGATAAAACCCGGTGTAGTGAAGTCGATCCTCTCGACTTTAATGACGTTACCTGCAAGAGTCCTCTTCATGGCTCTTGGTGGCGGGCCATTTTATGTGGCGCACATAACCTAGTCACAATTAGAACCTAAAGCTCTCCCTTCCGGAATACTGGTTGAACGCGACTGGGGTTTTCGTTTTCGAACAAAGCAACGGAACGAAAACCCCAGTCTGGGGTTATCTCTCATAAATGCGCCATTGAGTGCTAAACTGCTGCATGACAAGTTTGGTGCTGTTAAGGTTATCTTGGAGCTAGTGAATAGTGTCGAGGCACAAATATAGCATCACGGTCTGAGGAGAAAGAGGGTCTGGGGATTTGGCCGATGTTCAGCACTCAGGCGAGGGGCAAGACGGACATACAGTAAGACTGTTACTGTTACCATGGAGATCGGAACTCGGTACTTGTTGCTGAAGACATGATCTGAGCGCTTATGGGAATGTCCCAGTTGTTACGATATCGATTCTCAACTCCTAACTTTTTACAATGTATAGATCTGATATTTTTAGGTATTTTTACGAGCTACGGCACGTGATAACAGGGAACCTCACCGACGGCATAGGATAACTCAGGCACACACCACATGATAACAGGGGCACAAACAAAATATGCTACCACTACGACATGCTTTACCACCGAAAATACCACTACCCATATTTCGCAGCCTAGCTACATATCACAACATGCTTCTTAAAATAACATCATATGACCACTCCCACTTAAAAAAAATACACAAGCCACATCAAGCCATTTCAGGCTGCATCAGGCGGCAGCAGACTACTGGAGGGCTCCCACTCCTTCATAATACCTAAAAGTTAAAAAAAAAGTAAATGACCCTTTTTCACACGTTTAGGCTTAAAGAGCATATAGGGCTAGACCTATATTTTATAGACCAATCAGCACAAGATGTGTCATGTGGTCAGCATCACGCCGGCCACCTTTACTTCCCAGAACTGCGCCTGTTACCCACTCAAAGCTGCATCGACCTGGGAGCCAAGGTCCGGCTCTGTCAAGGAGCGAACCCACGACCTTCTGATCCGCAGGCGAGCGTCCAGCCTCTCTGCCACGGCGACTCCCATAATACCTAAAAGGTACACACTAAATGTCGCCGTCTGTGGATTAGGCGTTGCGAACAAGCTTCGTAATGCAGTGGTGCCGGGTTCGATCCCAGCTGCAGACCGTCTTGCGGTGGTTTTGACAGTGGTACCGAGAGCAAACTACTAAACGTAAAATCTGCCTAGAAAAACCACAACAGCCAACAAATGCTGGTGTTGTTTCTGTAGTGTCCTGTAAAGGATATGGAACTCAACTTTTTAACACACTTAATACATAACCCACCTCTTGTGGGTTCCTGAGTTCTACTGAGTGCGGAAAAAAGCGGGTGGGGGGGGGGGGTGACACCCACAGCTCCCAAAACATGTCGTAAATGCCAATAATAAGGATTTTTCTTAAATCAGATGTGTTGTGTCGAAAGGCTCAGATATCGCAGCTAGCTGTAAGTCGCAAGACATTGTTCCAAAGAAGAACTAAATAATATTTAAAAAAAAATATTTTAATATTCATTTGCAATTCAGCGAATGATGATGATAATAATAATAATAATAATAATAATAATATCGCTCCTAGAAAATTCTACAAGCAATGAGCCGCCCAGTTATTTCTTTGCGGCAGCGCTACTGGTCGAGACGTGGAGGGTACGCTATTAAATGAAGTATATGTTCTTTTACACGCCTTCAGACGTATTTGGCATATAGGGCTAGACCTATATTTATATATCCCTTGACACTGAATGGGTGCGGTGGTCAACATCATACCGACTGCCTTTACTTCCCCGGAGTTTACTTAGTACTTGTTTAAGAGTGGGTCGACCTGGGAGCCAAGGTCATTTTTAGGAGAGAAATAAAATGACTCTTGAGATCCGCAGTTTTTGAAAAGGAAATTTTGCATCTGAACTCTCTCATGGGGAGGAAAGTGTATGGCTTTCTCAGGGTAGGGAGAGAGTGCGGCTTTCTCAAGTGAGCAGCAGGTGTGGCTTTCTCGGGGTAGAGAGAGAGTGCGGCTTTCTCAAGTGAGTAGAAGGTGTGGCTTTCTTGGAGCGGATAAAGGGTGTGGCTTTCTCGGGGTGGGCAGAGGGTTTGGCTTTCTTTGGGCGGATAAAGGGTGTGGCTTTCTCACGTGAGTAGAAGGTGTGGCTTTTTCGGAATGGGGAGAGAGTGCGGCTTTCTCAAGTGAGTAGAAGGTGTGGCTTTCTCGGGGTAGGGAGAGAGTGCGGCTTTCTCACGTGAGTAGAAGGTGTGGCTTTCTCGGGATGGGGAGAGAGTGCGGCTTTCTTACGTGAGTAGAAGGTGTGGCTTTCTCGGGATGGGGAGAGAGTGCGGTTTTCTCAAGTGAGTAGAAGGTGTGGCTTTCTTGGGGCGGATAAAGGGTGCGGCTTTCTCGGGGTGGGCAGAGGGTTTGGCTTTCTTTGGGCGGATAAAGGGTGTGGCTTTCTCTGGGCGGGGAGAGAGTTTGGCTTTCTTGGGGCGGATAAAGGGTGTGGCTTTCTCAGCTGAGCAGAGGGTATGGCTTTCTCGGGGTGGGAAGAGAGTTTGGCTTACTTGGGGCGGATAAAGGGTGTGGCTTTGACGAAGGCAACGTAAATATTGTTCCAGCATAAGGAGACAGTATGGCTTTCTCAAGTAAGCGGACGGTGTGGCTTTCCCTGGATGAATAAAGTGTATGGCTTTCTCTGGGTGAGGAAAAAGTATGGCTTTGTCGAGGCGATTAAAGGGTGTGACTTTTTCGGACTAGGATATGGCATAGGAAGAGATGGCCTGACTTTCTCGGACTAGGATATGGCATATATTCTCTCGGCATAGGAAGAGATGGCGTGACTTTCTCGGACTAGGATATGGCATATATTCTCTCGGCATAGGAGGAGATGGCCTGACTTTCTCAGACTAGGATATGGCATATATTCTCTCGGCATAGGAGGAGATGGCCTGACTTTCTCGGACTACGATATGGCATATATTCTCTCGGCATAGGAGGAGATGGCCTGACTTTCTCGGACTACGATATGGCATATATTCTCTCGGCATATGAGGAGATGGCCTGACTTTCTCGGACTAGGATATGGCATATATTCTCTCGGCATAGGAGGAGATGGCCTGACTTTCACGGACTAGGATAAGGCATATATTCTCTCGGCATAGGAGGAGATGGCCTGACTTTCTCGGACTAGGATATGGCATATATTCTCTCGGCATAGGAGGAGATGGCGTGACTTTCTCGGACTAGGATATGGCATATATTCTCTCGGCATAGGAGGAGATGGCGTGACTTTCTCAGACTAGGATATGGCATATATTCTCTCGGCATAGGAGGAGATGGCCTGACTTTCTCGGACTAGGATATGGCATATATTCTCTCGGCATAGGAGGAGATGGCCTGACTTTCTCGGACTAGGATATGGCATATATTCTCTCGGCATAGGAGGAGATGGCCTGACTTTCTCGGATGAAGAGGCGAAAAACTGGTACAGCAATATTACCATGAATGGCTCAGGACACCGCATAATCAATGGCAGTAACACTACTACCAACGGATGACACAATAAAGAGCACATGTCCTAATCAAATCCAAGCCTGCACAATGAGACCGACACGACCTGGCTTACCAGGTAGACACGGAAGATATGGGGGAGAGGGGGGGGGGAGAAACACCAAACTACGCAATGAAATAGCAACACACTTTGTTGCCATAATTATAACCGATACTGCCTATTTGTCCCGTTTGATTTCCACTCAGAATGTGAATCTTTGAATTAATGGGGTATTAGTTCGATATGTGGCAGTAGATAGAGAGAGTCAGTCAAAGGATAGGAGGTACGCCAAAATAACGCCAATCGTCCCGATCTATACAAATTTAGGAAATAGCTAAAGAGATCATACGTTATTGTTAACTATATATGTAGAACCTAATTCGATTTTATGGCTTTAAGATGCTTTTAATGCATGAAATGTGTTGAGGAAAATATTTATTGCATCATGCTTAGCGCAGTTATAGAGCATTTAGTTTCGTTTATTTCTTGGTGACATTGGATC